ATTCTACTATATCCTATTTCATCTTTTTCCACATAAAAGATACCATACTTTTAAAAATATCATTTCCAGCTATATGTTTTAATGACTTAACTATTAATCTTTTCATGCAACTGTACAATTAAGTATAGATTGTGATGCTATTTTGAGTAAGATATTAGGAATACAACAAGAAAGAACAATTCAGAAATCTTTTTTTTAACATAAGATCAGTTTTTTTTTTTTTTAACACAGTGCTGGTTTCAATTTTATGCTTGAGAGGATCACATCTCATGCAGTTTACAAAAATGAGGCAATAATTAAATTTATATTTTCAAAGTTAATTAGGAATACATATTTCAATAAGAATCTATAATTTTCATATTTTAGCTTCACTTTAAAATTAATGATTTGTAGTGACTCTAATAGATTAGTTTATAGTTTCAAATCTACTGTACATCTTTTAAGTCATCATAGTGGAAATAATAACAAATGATGTTTTCTTACTAATATGACTAGTGATGTATTTAAAGTTTGAAAAATTGATCTTTTCACTGTTATAGAAACCACACAAGAAAATGTAATAGAAATAACTTTAAGAGAAACTGATATTGAATATACAGCTCAGTGGGAAAATATATATATTTTTAGGGAATTTACTAAGTTTTAATTTAGCACATGTGACTAACCATTGTCTATTGTTGAGAAGTTTCCCAGTTAGACCAAACACACTGTCTTTTCTTAATGAATATGTGATAAAGAATAAATACATTGCTTACATATGTAAAGTATATTTCTATATTGTTCATGTTTACAAAAAATAATGTACAAATATAGTCATTGCATAAGTTTTAAAAAATATTTCAAACTTATGTTTACTTTTAAATTTGCTGTCTTCAATTTTATTACAAACTTCTGAAAGGCAATTATGTACTTGACCTTCCATACAACTGGCTAGTTCTGCAATCACAGATTTAACTTGAGCATTGACTGATTTTGGTACTGTCAGGGGTTTGGAAACAATCCCCATCACATATCAAGATATCTCGAGATATTTATAGAGTTGAATTATAGTGTTAAATGCTCAAAAGTTCTTTTATTTATTTTATTTTATTGTACTGTGGATTGAATCCAGGGAAGCTATCCACGGAGCTATATTCCCAGCTCTATTTATTTTCTTTTATTTTGAGACAGGGTCTCATTAAGTTACTTAGGGATTTTCTAAGTTGCTGAGGCTGACCTCAAACTTGGGATTCTCCTGCCTCAGCCTCCCATGTCGCTGTAATTATAGGCATGTGCCTCTCTACATGGCCTCAATTTTTTTTTTTTCATCAAGAATGTATTACCATACTTAGGGTTAACTATGAAATTAACATTAAAACAAAATATTTCTAGACACTTATATGTACTAAAAATAAAGTACAGAACTGATGTAGAACACATGAGGCTGGATACCTGAGGAATTTTCAGGAAGCAGGCTTATTTAAACTGCAGCCATTCAGAGGGGCTTACTAATGCTTAACAATCTCTGGACCCTGAGTCTGGACATTCTTTTAGATTTAGTGGTTAGATTAGTGGTTATATGACAGTGGGAACATGACCATTATTCTTTGTTCCATATTCTTAGGCTTCACAAAGGTTTCACACTTTTTGTCTGCAAACCTGGCATTTACAAGAAAAAGGAAGTGTCAAACCGCATTGAGCTCTCTGCAAAACGGTGAAATACTGATGATATACTTTGTAAAAATCATTTTGATAAGAAGAAAAGCTTAATTATGGTGATGGGGTCTTTTGCGTGGGGGTACCAGTCTGTTTCAGCACCAATACCATAATATTTTAGAAATATTTCTCATTTTATTTATGTATAAAGTAAATTGCAAAAAAGAGATTATGAAAAGGAATGCTATAGAATTATCTCTATACACTGACTTGGTTAGAAAAAATATCAAAAGATAATCCAGGAATACATATAAAGGAAAATACACATACTTAGGTAGTTTTTTTTTCCTAGCCATTACTTTGATTAAATATTAATCCTATGAAGATGTTTAGAATAGAGTTTGGCAAATGCTTTCTGTAAATTGCCAGACAATAAATATTTTAGGCTTCTCAGGCTACATAGTCTTCATACCTACTCACTTCTGCCATTAAGTAGAAAAGCAGCTTTACAAAATACATAAGCAAATGGGCATGGTTGTGTTAATTCATCTTTATTTATAGAAACAGGTCCTTGGCAAGATTTGGTCCAAAGGCCTTTAGTTTGCCAACCCAGATTTAGAGATATTCAGAGATTTTGAAGTCCCACCAGAAGTAGTAGTGACAATGTCCAGTTTTACCTGATATTTGTATAACTGATGAGGAATCTATACAAAAGATCACCTATGATACAGGTTAGTACTACAAAAATATCTGCACCTAAGTTTTTAAAAATAACTTTTAAAGAAGAAAATAACAGTAATCAAGATAGTTTGATACTGGGTAAAATAAAGAAATAGATTAATAGAAAATAATAAATATCCTAGAAATTGATCCACATTTGATCCACATATGTATCATCAAATGAATTATATCCAAGTGTTAATTACATCCAAGTGTTAATGTGATTCTATGGATAAAGGATAGATGGCCTTCTAAGCACATGGCTCGGGTACTATTGTATAACCAAGCCTTACTATTTCCCTTTCAAAGTTGCTAGTTAAATTTATGGTTGAGTCTGGAAATAAGACTGCATGATATTTGTCAGCTAAGAAGCTAGGAATAATTTATTTGCTAAACAAGTAAGATAGTTATGGTATTTATGTTAGTATAGATTAGGAAAAAACTGAAATACTCACTGTGAGGAATATTTTATGAAGTTTGCTTAAAATTAATTAAGGATTGCCTAGAAGAATTAAGGGCCCAGTTGAGGAAAAACATATGAAATTTAGTAGAATAATCCATTTTCACGAGTGCTGAGAAAATAGACTGGGAATTAACAAATATTAGTTCAGGGTATTAACATTTGTTCCTCTAGATCTTCTTTCTGCCTTTGTCCATGATATCCTCTAAACAATGGAGATCAACTTAGATACCTGACCTTACCCTCCAGCAACTGAATGGATTTGGTCGATATGAAACACCATGAACAAACTAAATGAAACAGGAGAATCAAGTTGCTTATGTATCTCTGTCTCCTGCCTATTTAATTCACCTTTGACGGACTGTGTCCCATATTTTATGGTTTTTTTTTTTTTTTTTTTTTTTTTTCAGGTTCTATGTCCTGCTCTTTTCTCTGTCCCTTCAGGCTCAGTGTTGATAATGGTGATCTGCCATTTTAATCCCTTCAGATCCATACTATCCCTCCCTGTTTTTTTTTTTTTTTTTTTTTTAATTCTAACTATATATTTGTAAATAATCCCTCTGTTAATCTTTTCCCCAAAATCCAATTGGAATGGTTTATCAATTCCCTGATGTGACCCCGATAAGCCAGTGGATGAACATATTGAAGAAGGCCAGAAAACTACTTGTAATTTATTGATTATTGTGTCTAAATTGATTATGAAGGAGTCAAACTGGAAGAAGACCAGGAGATTTGAATGAGGTCAAAACTATCAATCCTTACAATTAGAGGGAAGTGATGAAAAGTGGCAAGGTTATGTTCATAAGGAAAACTTAGTGTTTTATTTCTTTGTAGTTAATTTGTGTTGTGATTATTCCCCAGGGGTAACTATGGGGTGAATTGTTTGAGAGGAGAAATTTTAACTCAGCTGCATTTACTAAGAATCTTACCTGTGATAAACAACATGTTAGGTATTCTAGGTGAGCCAAAATAGTTAAGCCACAAGCTATTGTCTTATAACAGGGAGAATACTACATTTAAATTTGTAATTAAATTTATGAAATTATTTTTTTAAACTTTATAAAAATATCCTGATATTGAACCCATCAATGATTTGATCTTTCACATTACTAAGTTGCTAGCCCTAAATTACACACCTAAAGTGTTTTAAGTACTATAAGTTTCTTCTAAAGCAGAAATGTACTACCACCACCCCACATACATATATGTGATGATCATTATTATCCAAAGTACATGTACGAGGACACGAATTGGTGTGAGTATACTATGTATACAACCAGAGATATGAAAAATTGAGCTCTGTATATGTAATAATAGTTGTAATGTATTCTGCTGTTATATGTAAATAAAAAAGGAAAATATAAATTTCTTACTTATTATTCTTATTTTTTAACTTTGCTGCCACAATTTAACACTTAAAATTCTAAAAGACAGAATTTCTTTAAATTATTAATTCCATTTTTCTAATAATTAAAGTTTTTTAAACATTTTTCTTTAGCAACCTTTACCAATTTGTCAGTGATTACAAAGGGAGAGGACATTAGTGATTTCAAAAGTGCTTGAAAGTGAGAAATTTACCTAAGAAAATTGACTTGTTAATTATTCAAAATTTTGAATTCAAATTCACATGAGATATTATCTCCTTCAATTTTTGTATAATGTTCTTGTTTAATAAAGGGTATTAATTTAACATATGTACAGACTAATATACAATGAAAGACTAATAGCTTTAAAATTTAATATGGTCACTCAATGAAGTTCCCTTGTTTTTTTTTTTTTTTTAGTTTTCTCATTAAAAGTAACCAGTCCCAAGGATAATGTTAGAAAAGTATGTTATATTGTGTTCCATCTATAAAGAAGCTATTTCCAGAAATGAGAATAATAAAAGTTATTCCAAAACTTTGAAAGCTGTGTTGTAATGAATTGAACTAGTTCACTTTCTGATTGCTTGCCAGCAGTCTAGCCATCTCCCACAAACTCCTGTATTGATCTGGTAGCCTTTGTGGCAGTGCATAAAGAATAACCATCTGTGTTGGGTACAGCAGCAGGTGCCATCTCCATTGAACTGGCTGCTGCCCTGATCACAATGAAGCTGTTTAGAGCACCTGGTGACCATGACATGCTTTCTTTTCTCTAGAAAAGAAACTAATTTTTAAGTTTACTGAACAGAAACTGAGAAACTCACCAGAAATCATCAGTTGTTGAGTCGCTGGGAAGGACTCCAGTGATGATGAAGTAAGTGATCTAGTGATGGAAAGAATCTGACCTGCAGCAGGAGGTTCTTGGTCATGCACACTAGGATGAAGTTCCCATTTTGACCATTCTGAAGAAGTCCTGATCTCTTCCTTTAAATCAGGTGTTAAGGTCAGGTAATCCACATAATATGGCCAATCTGGTCTAATTAGAGACATGGGTAAAGAGGTCTGTATTGGAAGAGGTTGAGTTGCTGTCACCATATAAAACCCAACACTAGGAGTTACTTCTGCAAAGTAAGATAGTGAGTTTGCATATAGTGGTTGATTGTTTTTGAGGTCATTTGAATGTGTGATTTCTGAATACATCTTGAAAGTTACATCTGAATATCGTTGTAAGTTTAATTCAAAATCTAGAGAGGTAACACTTGTGTGAAGTTTGAACAGTTGATGAGACACTTTACCCTCTTTCATGTCCAATAAATTGTCTTGATTTAGTGCCTCGGTGGGACTCATAGTTACACTGTATTTTCCTAATCTTGATAGTTTAAGAATGTCTTCTGATACTGACAGATCATCAGTAGTCAGTTTTGAAGTCAAATCAGAATACATCAAGTCTGAAGACATAGTTTGGGAAGATACAATGGATAAACAAGTCTCATTTGAACATAAATTAACATCTAAATTACTTGATAGGGTAATGGATTCTTCCAAGGATGAAAATAAAATTGTTCTTTTTGCACTCTTTTTAGATGGAAACAAAGATGACAGTTCTGTGAATGCCACTGATGGTATTATTTCAGTATGAGGAGAAAACGAATGCCCAGAAGTGATAGTTTGAGTTCCCATTAGTGCATACCAGCTGGCTAATATCGCTGAGTTCATCCAGAATGTCTCATAAAAGTGGGACTGTTTACTATGCAAAACCTGATCTGAGAATTCATGAGAGGATTTTATTTCAGTCATAGAACATGTTGCACATGTTTGGCTTAATTCACTTAAAGAATCAGCAGCCTGTGATTTGATGTTTGTGAGTCTCTGGTTGCTAGATTTTTCAGTAATAACCCGATATTCACTGGGAATGGGAGTTTGCTTACTAAATTGGCAGAGAGTTGATGAGTTTAAGATGGCTACCTGTTTAGATATAATTATCTTAGCAGGAAAAATGGGAGACATTGAGGGACTCAGCAATCTCCAGTGCTTTCTTCTTGAAATTAAGGAAACAGCTGAATATTCTTCAATATCCTCTTGAGCCCTCCTAGAGACAACTGGAGGTGCACTTGTGGAAGCAGTTGTGAGCAGGAATCCATGGGAAAGTAATGAGTGCCTGTTTAACTTAATATCAGCTCCTGGAATGCTACTAATTACTGAACTCATTGTGGCAGCAGAAAAGGCAACAGTGTGATAGTCCTCAAATAATGAAGATGATGTGGGAAAAATAAAATCTGTCATTAAGGAAGAGATGATAAATGGGGTCCTTGCTCCCTGATGAGAAAAAAAGAATGCTTGTGTAGCTGCTGAAGTTTGAATAGGCATATGTGATGCAGATGTTTTGCCCCGGACAATTTGTGCTGGATCATGAACACCAAAATTCAGAAACTGAGAAGAGGAAACATCTGTGGAAGAAAGAAGACTCTGTTTTGCTGAAAGCTCTCTAGTGGAAATCAGTTCTTTGAGTAAGTAGCTTTCAAAAGCTATGCCAATACTTAATGCTGCCAAACCAGTGGTTGTAGGAACATCATGCTTGAAAATATCTCTGTGTTTTGGAGCTTTAGAAAGGAAAAGGCAAAAAAGAAATCAGAAAAGTGAGTTAAAATTGAATAACTTTGGCCTCAGGCTGAATCTTTAGCAAATTGCACTGCCACCTCACACCTATTATATGCAGACAGATTTGGCTCTGTAAATCACATTTCTAATAAAAGTGTATGAAGAAGTTTAGTGACTTCACAAACTGCATAAATGTAAAGTCTGTTATTATTTACATTCCATGGGAAGGTCTAAATAGAACAATGGTGTTACATGAAATTGCCATTTTCAACCAATTGACTCCTTTAAATTATTAAACTAAAAACTAAAATTCTTTATCATGGATAGAACTGATGAATATTTGAACTATTTTGTTAGAAATATTCAAAATTTTGTTTTAATTTCTAAATAGTAATTTTTTTTTTTTTTTTTACATTTGATAACACTCTATTTTTACTTAATTCTTTAAATGAACATAAATCAGGAGCTGGGGTTGTGGCTCAGAGGTAGAGTGCTCGCCTACCACATGCAAGTCACTGAGTTCAATCCTCAGCACCACAAAAAAATAAATAAAATACAGGTATTGTGTCCAACCACAACTAAAAAAATATTTTTAAATAACATAAATTATATAAACAAAAATAGAAAAAGATACTTTCTTTTTAGAATGTACAACAGTATTCAAAGAAACTTTCATAAACAAAAAATATCTTATTAAGGACTGTAATTCTAACTAATCATTCTGAGTAACACTTTCTATATGGAGAGTGAATTTGGAATTGAACATACATTCTACTGTTTATAAAATGACATCATTTGACTTACTGTTAAATCATAGCACATATCAGGAGGCTCAAGTTGTTAACATTCTTCAAAATAGAAAAATAAACACTTTTTGTTTCTGAGAGTTTTCAAAGAAATTATTGAATATAAATCTACATATAATAATTCACAGGACATTAAATGAAGACATAATGAGATAAGTAGTACAAGGCCCTTTTCAAAAAGATTTACTGATATTTAAAACAAATGTGCTAGAATTAGAGTCCAGTTATTCACCAAAATTTACACATCAGAATAAAGATTGTTGACTTTTTTTTTTCAGTTACCCCCTTCCCCAAATAGTACTTTTTGGCAAAGAATAACAATATTTTTAAAACTTAAAACAGGATGTGTAACTAACAAGAATTCTAAATTTTTCACCCTTACAAAATCTATATCTTGGGAAAAAATTGAATAATTGAGAAATAAAAACTTAGAAAATAGGTTTTCAATATAAAACTTTTTCAAATTCAACTTCATATTTTATTTATTTCTACTTACCTTCATTGCCTGGATAAGTATTCATTATGGTCCATATTTTTGTAGCCCTTGCAGATGGGAAGATACTGAACAAGATCTCAGAAGGAGGCACTGTATATATTTGTGTAAAAATGGTTGGAGAGATGCTTGGGGAGATGAGAGGTGAACTGGTGATGCTGCTTATTTCATCACCACAAGGAAGCACAGTGGAGCAACTCTGCAAAAGGTAATCACCATAATTAAATTAAGCTCAAAGTTTCTTTGTTCCTATGAGGAGTTTTTTTTTTTTTTTTTTAAAGTTTATTTTCAGGTCCATTTTGCATTTTTATGCTTACATTAAATAGTGCAAATCATTCACCTTATTTTACTTAAAAATGAAATCTTCATAGTAAAATTTATCCATATTTCAAAATTAGTTAATTCTTTCAAATTTGAGATATACTCAATTAAATGTCTAAATTTGTTTTTAGTTCCTTTAATTTCAAGTCATAATACTCCCTTATATTTGCTTTGGGAATATTTTTTCCCCTGAAAAATTTGTACTTTGATTTTCAGTATGGATATAAAAGCAATATAATAAATTATAAACCCTTTTCTCTAAAGGTCATATTTAGTTGAAAGCCAATAAGAATATCATATTTAAAATAGATAATTGAAAACATTTTTTTGTGATGTTCAAATAATTTTACTTTGTACTGGCTTATATAAGAAATTGGCTTGTATATTTTAGTTTGACATGAATAGCCTATTTCTGTCCTATCCTTATAAAATAATTTCCATAGAAAGCAATTGATTGAAGCATATTGCAAAGAGAACTTTTATGCATGCATAAATAAATGCAAATGGATCAAGGAGATTCTCTCTAAAAAGTAGAGTTAAAACATAGTTATATTAAAAAATAAAAAAAAACATAGTTATATTATTTGAAGCGTTTTGATCTTTAATTAAACACAGATTTTGAAATGATTTTAAAATACAACTATACGTTTATTTCCCAATACTGAAGATATAGCCAATAGATTTCCCCAATTTACTGCTATAACATTTGTCGAATGTATTTACTTTTCACAAATCTTAGGTCTTGTTTTAGACATATATTCTTTTTTGCTTTGTAGTTTATATTCTGTGTTCACTTTCAGCTTATAACTAAAAGTTTCTATAAAGGTCAAAGGATTCGTGATGTTAGAAAATTGCATTAAAAAGTCTAACATGTAAAAAATAGTCAAGAATGAATCTGGAAGCAATATAAGAAACAACAACAACACAAAAAAAGGAATATGATTTTATACTTTAATAACCAAAAGATTTACGCTTTCCTCAAGGCTAAGCTGTAGCATGGAAAGACTTCATAGATTAATTAAAATACACATGAAATCAGGGTAAGACCAGAATGCATCTGTACTAGTTTACAGTGAAGATATGACTATTACATGGCTCATAAATGCTTGTGTGGTCCTGGTCAGATCTTTTTTCTCGAATCCTAATCAAAAGCCATTATTAACCACCATGAGGAATCACTACCACAGAGTTAGGTGATAATCAACAAGTTACCTAAGAACCTCATGTGTTTTTGACATGCATTAGACCAGAACGTGTAGAATTAGGTGATTCAAATGCTCAGTAGAAGGACATTTGAGTCCAGCAGACAGGAAACCATACTTTCTCCTTCCTCTATTATATGCACACATTGGTGGGCTGAGTCTCTTATCCATCAAGTGCTGCTCATAAGGTTTGCTCTCAAAATTGATTTTATTTTCTGAATTTCAGGCTTGATTCCAAATATCCCATTCTATTCCCTATTCCCCAAGTATTAACAATAAGCATCTCATCAAACATATATAAATACATATATATATATATATACACATATATATACACATATATCTATTTATTTATTTAATATCCTTCAAGTAGATTTTAATTGTTTGACATCTCTCTATGTATGTATATATGCATATATATCTATATATGTAGATACATATATATAAGTGTATGTATAATAAATATATATATTTATGCATGTATATGTGTGTTAATACATTTATTCAATGTCATTACAAATGTGAGATACAAATATTTGATGTTAATACATTTATGTATGATATATACACCTCAAAGCCTGCAAATGCGATTCATCCTAGAGACATTCCTCTATTCTTCCTTATTAAATCTCCATTACACACTCACTATACCTATTTCTTTTTCCCTTTGGACTGTATGCATCAATTTTTCTTGTGTGTTTGTAATTATGAGTCTTAATAAATGGTCATGAAGTCTGCCACTTTCTGATAGATTCATAAAATTCTGTGGTGTGTGATCTTCCAGCCTCTTCCCTTATGTTGTGACACGTGAATTCATGTATTAAAGATGGCCGAGTGACAAAAAGTAGCCTTGGTGCCTAAAATATCTCACTGAACGAGAGGAGCTGAAATTAGAGACATTCATTCGGAATTCATGTGAATGAAGAATAAATTTCTATTGTATTGATCTACAGAAGTTTTGAAGGTTGTTGTGATAGCAGTTATCATAGCCCTAATAGACCACCTGACCTTTCTGATCACATTCTGTTATGTATAATAAAGATAAACTGAGACAAAACTCCTCAAAATGATTGCACATTTCTTCTTGCATAGTCACTTGATTGCACATGAAGCATATAAGAATTCTAAGTATTTAGCTTTAACTCATAAATCTTTAATTTGATACTTGTATTTCTTAACTTCATGGTTACTATAGTTTACTAATTTTGTCAATGTAACTCATTCCTTCATAAATGCACCTTGCAAACATGTATTTAGTGCCTGATTAAAATACAATAATGAGGTGCTGATATTTATTGAGAACTAAATAGGTTTCAAGATAATGTTAAGCATTTATATAAAATGTCATAACTTAAAAATTGTCTTTCTGAATCTATATTTGAAGAAAACATGCAGCAAGTATCTTGAATCAGTGCTTTATGAAATTCTGATCACCTGCTTTCTCGTTAACCTTGGGTAGCTCTGCATGTCTTCATTTAGTACTAAGTGATGAATGTGCAAGCTATAATGACGGTTATAAGTGCTCATCAACTTATAGATGGAACTGGCCAACAGGATAGGTAATTTTTTATTTTATTTTATAGCTTGATTTTAGAAAAGGAATCAAAATTTGAATTAGTTTAAACAACAGCAAAATGGGCAACTAGAGAGGCAAAGGTGGAAGTGAAATCTTAGATATGACCAGGAACGAGATAATTCAGGCTGCTGCTTTGTTTACTTATCAGTTGTTTAAATTAGAGTTAATTCTAAGAGATTGGAAGCCATTGGAATATATAGGACAAAAAAAAAGTGATATAGTGTGATTTATATAGTGAAAAATATTTGCAGAAACATATACTCTCAAGGGAGATTGGTGTGGTGGGAAGAAAGGAAGCTGGTATATCGATGAGATGCTGCTTACAATGATCTAGAAAATGGGTGAATAAACTCTGGCTGGGAGCCGAAGCAGTGCATAGGGTGAGGAAAGGTTTCATTCAGGATGTATTTGGAAGACAGAGACCATAATACTGCTGAAGGACAAGAAACATGAGGTCAGAATAAAACTTTAATGAATGATTACTAAATTTTTGTTTCAATGCATGGAATGACTAATGAAGCCATTTACTAATTGAAATATCAGTAAAGGCCAGTTATAGATTGGGGGTATATCAGAATTTCTTAATAAATACATTAAATTTGAGAAACTTATTAGTTTCCAGTAGCAAGTTAAAAATATGAGTCTCTCCTAAGGCAGAATAATCCTTGAATCATTTCAGTGAAGTAAGAAGAATGGTTTAAAGGAAACCTGCACTATCTTATAGTCTTTTTGCTAATTCTTTGATCATAGAGATAGAAATGCAAAGCCAAGATTCAAACCAAGCACTGAAACTCACGGCCCACACTCATAGCCACTAAACTTTATTTTGGTCTCCTGGATCATCTCCAAGTTTTTCTATGAACAGTTCTATTCTACACTTGATTATTATAGATAACAAAAATCAAGATAAGGAACTACTCTACTCTAATAGTTCTACTCTAATAGTTTAACAAACATAACTGACAATTAGATTTAATCATCAACAACCAGGTAAAATAGTGTTTATTATCTCAGTGGATTCACATTCTAGTGAACTATTATTTTACATTCTGTTGACATATCGTTTAAAGATGTAACTGTATGTCTCATTCTTATTTTCTACTAAAATGTATACAATGAAGAAACATTCCAATGTTTATATTTAATTTAATATCTATAATACTGTGGTTTAACCTATGTTTCTAAGAACCAAAAGGATAAATTTGTAAAGTTTTCAAACTAATTGGCAGCTTGAAATTTACAACTCTATCAAAATATGCAGTATTGCATATACGTAGAAGTGCCTACCTAATTTGTGTGGTCCAGTACAGAATGAAAACATGGAGTGTGGGCAGCCAGTCTAAATGATTAGTGTTCTTCATCCAGAGGCAGAGAGGCTCTGACTATCACTACATGTTGTAGTGACCTGGACATTGCCCTGGTCCCGGAAGGTTGAGGACACATCTTCAGACATAGGCATGTCTCCCCATGGATTGAGCTAGGCTCACCTGTTCTTTTGTGATATTACCCTTTGCCCTGTTTGGGACAGAATGTTGCATGAAAATGCCCTTTGTGTGTCCCTTTCTCTTGCTCTGCCTTTGGGTATGGCCAACCTGCTGACAACAGACATGGCGAAGCTGGACTCAGCCCCCAGGAACCTGATCACTTGCCTCATTTGAATATCTTCTCTTCAACAAACGGGTTCAGCACGTGCTTGTTCTCTCTCTTTCTGTGGACCCTTAAGGTCAGAGGAGCCAGCTGTCATAGGACCTCAAAGAAAAGGTACCTCTGTCTCTTGGTGATTATTTCATGCAGCCCAATTCTTCTGGAATGACCCTGAGTGTTTTAGTTGTGAGGAACGTGACAATGGAGCCCCTTATTGAAAAATGATTAAGTATTTCAGCTCAATGACAAGAGAAGAGCAGACTAAGAGACTATTTGTGTGAGTGTGAATAAGTGTGCTCATACATGCAAAGGGTCACAGAAATCTTAAGGACAAGGTTTTGGTCCACTCTCAGGTCACACACGCATGATGCTAGTCTGCTTATTAATACTACTTTGTATCATATAACACTGATCTACCACCTTGCTCTTTGAGATATTTTATTTTTCTTAAAATAA